TACTGCGCCAATTAAAAAGAAATAACACTTGGACACCCCGTCTAACAGTTGTAGTTCGCAAGAATTACACGTTAACACTATTTATTGTTTACTGTTTACTATTTAATTTCATTCTGTTGTATTAATTCTTACTTACTTCCGAATTTGTTATATTACTTTTACTTCTGTTATATTAATTTCATTTGTTTTCCTTATGATCATTTAAAGTTTAAATAATAATTTTTCTTTCTTACTTTTTCGGACTTCTGTCTTTCTTCCGTTCTTCTTCTGATTTTCATTTTGTTTATGATGTCATGTGTAACCTTTATGTTACATAAGCTTCCATGTGGTCCAATTTGTCATTCTCAACGAGTGTGCCTTTTATGTAACCTTCTTGCATCTCATGTAACTTCTTCAATTTGTTATTTTTCAAATATTTTCTGTTTTTTTATAAGACCCTCTGTCTGGTTGATTAATTATCCTTTTTCCTTGACCCTCCTCCATTCGGTTAATTAATTATCCTTTTTCTTTCGGTAACTAATTTATCTGAATCATTTTCTTCCGTGATTTATCTGTTTCATGTAATCTTCCTTTTCGGTCTGTAATTTATCCAAGTATTATTCTTTTCTCTTGATAAATTGATTATTTCTCTTTTATCATATGACTTTTTCTTATGACTCTTTACTGTATATTATTGATTATTTCCTTTTATTGCTGTGCCTTAAATAATGAAATTTTTGACTCTACAATGGCTTTGGAAATGTTATTTTACTAAGAAAACATAGTAAAAAATGCCTCTGTGACTTTGGAGATGTTATTTTTGTTATTTTACTAAGAAAACATAGTAAAAAATGCCTCTGCAGCTTCGGAAACATTTTTTACTAAGAAACCTAATAAAAAAACGCGTTCAAAGCTTCAGAAACATTTTTTTACTAATAAAATTATTACGAAGCTGAGATGGCGGTTATTACTAAGTTTTCTTAGTAAAACTGAAATCGCAGAGTTATTTTATTAAGTTAAATAGTAAAAATTCACCTATTACTAAACTTACTTTATAAAAGCTATCTTTGAAATTTTTTAATACAATTACTAATAATTTCTTAATATAAACTTTAGAATAACTTTATTTTATATTTGATTCGATTCGTTTTGATTCGATTCAATCAAATATTTGATTTGATTTAATTTGATTTGACAAATATTTGATTCAATTTGATTTGATTCGATCAAATTCAAATCTATTTAAATTGATTTGATCAAATATTTGAGTTCAATTTGATTCAATTTGATTCAATTTGAAAAAATCAAATCAAATTTTAAATTGCTTAAATATTTGATTCGATTTCAGATTTAGGCTGGTCTTTAAAGCTACCAGTTTTTATCTTTATGTTGCTTGGTTCTTATTTACAGTTGATTGGGAAATATTTTCCTTGGTTGCTATATAGTGGGAGGGATAACCTTCTTCAAATAAGGTATAAATTCTAGCTCTTTTTCAACAGATAAATAAACCATAGATTTTTATAAAATTATAAAGGGCAGAAAATACCATAAGGCATCTTTTTTATATATGTTACATGATTGTTTTGAAGTATAAAATAAATCCTGTTGATGTTTATTTCTTAGATCAATCAAAATAATTGCATCGCAATTTTTGCGAAGCTTCATAACAAAAGAAAAAAAATATTTTATAAAAGAGATGAAGTACTGTAGGTTGATAAATTATGAACTCATTAATTAAAGTTTTATAATACTGCGCATTTTTAATTACAAGATATTACCATTTTAAAAAATTTGTGTTCGGGTGATGAGCGCCACTGTATATGGCAAAAATGTCAAAGGTCCAATATTTTGGCCAGAAAGTCATATTTGACATATAAAATCGATTTTCCGACAGTTCCAATATATTAAAAACTAAATTTATAAACAAAATATTTATTTTCATTTTAAAGCGTGATATTTATTTATGCACTATTTTTTGAGTTAAATTTATTATTAATAGGATTTTTTTATTTATTAATTAATTGTTTTTATAAAATGATCGAACAAATCACGAAAAAAAAATTTAAACAATTTTTTAATTACATGAAATAAAATTTTTATTTTTAATATGAAAATGATTTAAATTTTTATTAGGAAGTTGGACATTTAATTGGAACAACTTTACCACGCATAATTGAACCTTTCAAGAAGCGTAGCTGCATCTTGAACATCTTTTTGAGCCTTCTTCCTCATGTACCTAAAACCCAATATTAATTACTCTTAATATATATATATTTTTTAAAAGAAAGAAATTGTAATTCATACCATATAGGACAATCTTTTGAACTACAAAGAATATCTTGATGTAAACTGCCTTGACATCTCTGACATTGAGTCCATAACCGAGAAAAATGAACTTCGAGCTTATTTACAGCATCGAGCTATCAATTTGTATAGTAATAAAGCAAATTTTTACTATTAATAATGTTCTTAAATATTAAATTAACCATGAAAACGTTACCTGTCGCTGATATAATTCACCCAATTTCGGTTTACAATGCCGACATACTGCTGTGTCTATAATTAATTAAATGTGTAAGATAATTTAAATATTATTTTATCTCGTCATTAAATATTGTAACATACCATGCTTCGATAAAGGAGTTTTACATCCTAAACAAGTAGCCGTTTTTACGGCAAATTTCATCAACCCGCCTATTGTTGGTGTCGCAATCTGAACAACACGAGTGTGATCACCAGCAACTTGATAAATATAGAAAGATTATTTACAACTCATTTATTAAGATACCAAAATTATAGTTAAAAATTCTAACTCACGTAAGGAATGAGCTTTTTCACCTAGAACCGGTTCGAAAATTCGTAATAACGGTTTAGATAATTGATTCTCCAAATAATAATTAGTATCAATAGGAATATTATTCTCAAGAACATATATCGGATCTTCAGACTTTTCGTAAGCAGCAGCACCTAAATTTGTTAAACAATATTTTTAATATTGAATATTTTAAATATTAATAGTGTCAATAATAATAATAATAATAATAATAAATACCTTTAGTACTTTTTACGATAACATACGCGACTCGATCGCCGAGTGTTGGTGCGGAACCTTTGTTATTATTATGATTTATTATTAAACATCGTTTAGAGAAAGAATAAGTATATTAATTATTAGCGAGTTTTAATTACCAGCATCCCTTTTACGCATACGTTCTGCCAATTCGACGTGTGGCTGTTTTGCTGAATAATCTGTATATGAAGTATCCATCAATGAATGAACATAAATTCAACAAATGTGAATCAATAAATTTGCTATCATTGACATTAACCTGATTTACTTAGAGCCTTTGTGATAACCAATTGCGACATATCAACTTTATTCTGAAGCAAATCTGAAATTGTTTTCTTAACGTATCTAAGAAAAATTTAAACAAATATCAATAATAATAGAAATACATAGAATAAATAATAAACGAAATATTTACTCCTCAGCACCAGCGACGTCACGATCAATTAACATTTTTCGTAAACTTGTTTCTATTACATTTTGTACAAGAAGACAATTATCTCGCCTGACAGTCTGTTTCTCGACATAATAAAGAGTTTAGTATTTTAAATTTACGTTCAATAAAAAGGTTTGTATCAAGTACTTACCTCAATACCTTTAGTATCTAATTTATCCCATTTTTCTGGATTTGTCCAATATAGACCGGCATAACGCTTTTTATTTATTAATAAATATGGAAAGTACACCTTTTCGAACTCCAATTTAATTGGCTTAACAAATTTCCCCGTAACATAGTCTGAAGCTTCCTTTCCTATATAACATGTTAAATGATATTCCACATATCTTATTTATAACGAAATAGATGAGAAAATAAATTCACCTAAAGCCATGGCGTCAACTAAATTGTCCACACCAAATTTCACCATAACAGAATCAGTATCCCCATAAATTATATGAGCATCGTGTTGATACCCATTGGCAATAGTATATTGATTCTCTACTTCCTAAAAAGATAATGGTAAATGTAATTTTATTTTATATGATAAACACTAACAGTATAGTATCAACCTGTTTCGTCTTTTCGATCATCTGTCGCCCATAAGCTGTGACACTTGCCGAAATTTCAATGCAAGGAAGTTTACCAACAGTTGCACCAGTAAACCCGTATACAGAATTTGCACTGACCTATAAAGAAATACTTTAAACACTTGCTTTTTAATCAAGTATAATCGTAATAAAAAATTGAAACCTTAAGTGCTAATTGACGACCATCAAGAACCGCTTTTTTAAAAGGATCTGTCTCTTTTTTTAAGTCTGCCTTGGCCTTCTTACGTGCAGAGAGCAGATCTTCCAAAATTGTAGGTAAAAGACCTTTTCTATGATGAACCTTCACAAATTTTGCTAAATAATCAAGAAATATATAAAATTGAATAAAATGTCAAAAATTCATAATAATAATATTATTAAATGTTTACCATTGTTGTATGGTGTTGTAGTGTAATCAACATCACACTTAAAGCCTAAATTTTCAATGTCCCTGTTATCCAATAACGTCGTATAACAAAGATTATGAGCAATCATAATGGAAGGATATAAAGAGCTGAAATCAAGTGTAGCAATTGGAACATTGTAAAATCCTCTTTCTGGTTCAATGACGGTTGCTCCTTCATATTGATCATCAGATCCTAAATGATTGCAGCATTATATTATTATGCTAAATTTAATAATTAACAAATTTATGAAAAAAAACAATAAATACCCTCCGATTTTAAGGCTGGTATAACTAAATCTTGCTCAAACGCTTTTCTGTATAATTGTGATATAACTTTAATTTGCTGTCCACGAACAAGAAGATAATTAAAAGGGACCCCTGTAACGCGAGCCATTTCCATGTAATTGATAAGGCACATGAGCTTGTCCATTAACCTTTGTGGAAGGATTGCATCCTAGTAAAGATTAAAGTTATTTTAAATTATTATTTGAATAACATGAGAACTACAATACGAACCTTCAAACAATAAATGGCTAATCGTCGCCGTGTCTCACTATTTGCGTTATGTAAATCAGTAATGATAGAATGATGAACTTCTTCTTTTTGTTCGCCTTTAAATCAAACGGTAATTAAAATTTTAATCAAACAATTAATCACAAAAGGACACAATTATAAATTTTACCTAGAAAATGTGCACAAACAGAATTAAGAGTATATGATCTTAACTTATAATCCCGTTGCATAACTTGCAACATATCAAGTTGAAGTCTTCCATCAAGATGTAAATTTTAGTTAAGGATCAAATGTATCGTATAATGATTTAAACATGACTACACGTTTTAATGTAATAAAGGATATTGATAAATTTATTTTCACGTGCTCCATATGCTTTTGAGGAAAATTTGGTATCTTTTGCTTCTGTCTTTACATCTTCAAAATAAATAATAATGAAATTAGATAGTTTTATATATATATATATATATTCAAATTAAATAAAGAAATTATGACAAAAATTACTTTTCATACGGCCAAAGTATGGAAATTCTTTTACTTTCAAATGATGTGCACGTTCGAGTAAGTACGGAAAATCGAAGTTTACGATATTGTATCCTATGATAACATCAGGATCTACCTATTATACCAATCAATAAAAAATTAATATTAATATTAAAGTACATAGTCACAATTCAATAGTCAAAATACATGCCTCATTTACAAAATTTCTCCACGCTTGTAACATCTCCCCTTGATCGTAAAATTCGATAACATCAGTTGCAACAATTGGAGCGCAGGAGTTTAAAGTGAAAACATTTCTGATAAATGGATTTTTTTCGCCTATAAAGTGAAAATAAATGAGTAAATGATTATACAAGTTAAATTGTCTTAACAAATATGAAATCATTAAAAAAAAAAGTCCTGCTAATTGCGTTCATACCTTGTATCGTAACTGTATTGGCAATTTGAATAACCGGATCTTTTGTAGCTTCAGGAAAAATGCCTTTGCGACCTGCACATTCGATGTCAAAACTTAAAATACGTAAGGGAGCTATTTTTGACCATTCGTTTTCAGGGGGATAACTAATAAATTGGTCATATCTAAACAATATATAAAAAATTATTATGTGTATATCAATTATTTATGTATTTAAAATAAGTGTGTTACTTGATATCTATTTCCAATTGACAAGTGGATGTCTTCCGCGAACTATTACGCAAATTATAACTTTTTGGTGGTAGTTCTATCCAATTTGCTCCGGTAACCTAATTAGAACAATTTATGAGAAATTAAGTAATAATTGGCAAAAAGATAATATGCAATAAAAACCTTGCAATCGATCATAAATCGTAGAACATAATTTATATTGCTTTCAAATGTCAATTCTCGAAGTTGACGATCATTAAATTTAATAGCTCCATCGTCAATTAGACGTACAAAGTAGTCAAGGATTATGCAAGGCATTTAGTCAAAATTGAAAACAAAGACAACAAAGGATATGTCTAGCAGAATTTAAAGCCTTCGTTTCACTAAAGATAATCTTGAGGTAAGGACTCTTCTTATTTCCATGATAGCCCCATATGCTCTCTTTATGGATAAGTTCAATTCTTTCGATTGGGTTAGTCAAGCCGTTATCCAAATTTATAGCGCGCTGAAAATAATCGATACCCAAGTTGAATTAAATAAATAGAATCCAAAGTATTTTATTATATAATTACCTCGAACTGTCTTTGTATGGCAGCCATATCATTTTCTCTGAAACCAATTGGCTCCGGAATATAAAAATATGGACGAAACCCCGTTACATAACAAAGAACACTATTGCCAGTCTAACAAGGAGATATTAACCGTTATTAACAAAACGAATTTAAAAAGCAACTTTATTTATGTACCTCGGTAATGCCAAACATGCGAATTAATGGCTCTCTAGATTTTGGTTCAACACATTCGTCTACTTCAATTTGTTGAAATACTAAAGAGTTGTACATAATAAGTAACCAAGTGCAAAAGTAACAGAAACGAATATTATTTACTTACTAATGGAATCCTGATTAGGTTTGATCTTCGGCACATTTGGCCGCTCCCAAATTTGGTGACGTCTTTCATCTTACAATGTTCACAAAAACATTATTAATATAAGTGCAGTCTTTTTCGCGTATTAATATTACTTTACCTGCATTAGTACTTTCTTGTAATTCATTTTCTTGCAATAGAGCCAATTGTTCTTCAAAAGAAGGAACTGCATTCGTGGATAAACTTGCGTGAAGTCTTCTTTTTTTGAACCTAGTTAAGTCTTCGGTCATAATTTGAATTCTTCGTACATACAGTTGTAAAACTATTTTTATGAAAAGAGCAAAAGACGCGACTGTTTTAAGGGTAACACGAATAACACGTAAAGTTATGATTTATGGGATCCATCTGGTGATCGCGATCTTTTAGACCGGACTGAATATTCGATTAATCCTGACTATTCATTCGTAATACTTAAATTTCTATCTTTCAAAAAGTGAATTTAATACCTTCCACAAAATATTTGTTTTTTTTTCCATTTAATGTTCGTCGCTGGCACCACAACGGTAAAATAACAGCATTTCGTTCACCAGGTGGTGTGCGACTTTATGATGTCTAAAATATTGTGGGTTCCACCACCATCACCACCACCACCTCCTTTATCGTGCAAAAAAGTTACATTTACGCATGAGTTTCAAGTGCAAAACAGAAGATCTTAAGCGGCAACAACAATTCCTTCTCATTAAATGTCCTCAATAAGAACATTGGAAGTGGCATTAATTTCAAGAGACCCGGCTTGCAAACCATACTGGAACAAGCAATTCGCGGAATGAGTCTTATTTGAATTTTAGATTATACATATATTGTGTTAATATATCTGGATCTTAAAAAAAAAATTAATAATCAATTAATTTGAGCTTTCATGTTTACACAAAATCAAAATAAAATCATATCTAATAATAAGAACCTAAAGTAAGAGAAGACCAATGCGTAAAATATTCAAATGTTGCAATGAAAAGGGGCATAAAAAAATAAATATTTATAAAAAAGGCCTTAAGCAATACGGTAGAAGCGTTATACTAAAAGAAAGAGAAAAAGAATCAATCAACAAAAATAATAAAAATAAAAAAATATACTGTATAATCTTTATTATTAATTTAGGTTAGAAGAATGTCTAATACTATTGAATTTGTTAATTATTTAATCTTTCGAAAACTATCCTAAAGCTATATAATAAAATAATAATACATTTTTTCTAATAAATAAACCTTCTGGATCCTAACTCTAAAGCTACGCAAAAATAATAATGTATTAATAAAGATTTTTTTTTCCAATAAACCTTTCTAAACCCTAACCCTAAAGCACGCAATAAAATAAAAATGCATTAATAAAGGTTTTTCTAATAATGAAATAACAATTTTATACTAATCCCCTAATATAATGCAATAAAATTATAATATGTGAAAATTAAATATAATATTAAATGCTTGATATTGCATTTGCACATTATGTAATGGAACGTTAAAATTACTATTTCTTTTAATATTTGTTCCTAAATTTTAGCGTAAGATCTTTTGTATACCAAGAGAATCAAGATCTTCAAGAACGTTGCTTTTCAGAAAGTGATAATATATAGATCAGATAAATGACCAGGATAATGATTAGTATGTTTGTAATAATGGTGTAAAATTACAGCGAAAGAATTAATAGGAAGTTTGACATGTATATAACTTTTACATCCACATTCTTTTGTTTCTTTTTGAGATTTTTTATTTGGATTTTTGTCAGCAACACTCTTATATGTTCCATATCAATGACAATACCATCATCTCATCTTTCATTTCATTGATACATCTTTCGAACATAGCTGAGTATAATTACCAACTGGGAAGTTGATAGGTTTTCATTCTTTTTGTTTCCTTAGAGCCTTTGGTATTGTATCATTTTCAACTAATTCCCATATGTGATCAACACCATCTGAAATAAATATATATCAATAAGTCCTCAACTTCTTCATATATATCAAAAATTGAATTAATATTTGAAGGTAACATGTCAAAACGGAAATATGTGAGAAAAAAATGTGATTGTGATATATAAAATAATAATAAAAATTCTTTTGTTTTAAAAGAAAATTTTAAATAGAGTGCACATGTGACATTCTAACAGAAAAAAATTTCTTCCCATTCATTTACTTCACTTGGAATTAATCAAGCTTCATTATTCCAGGTGAAGTTTTCCCGATCCTGACAGCGAATAACTCGAAACATAACTTGGATTTGGAAAACTTCATGTTTTTTTCCCTCTTATTGTGTGGAAAAAATCATTCTTATTGGAATTTTATTATTATAACACCTGAACGCAAAGAATATTTATATCAATTATGTGATTTTTCTGACGAATCACATATAGGAGAATTTATTACAGAAATATCGTTTTAGAAGCAAATTGTGCCAATTACATAAAATGAATGAACACGTTATAGCCGAATCACAAAAATTTGAATGAGTTGAGGCATATGATAAGGCTGCATTCGACTCTGGTTATTATTACCATTGCGACAAGTTGAAGATTGCCCATTCCCGTTCCTGTCATCTTTTGTTTTGTATTATCTGAACCTTTCAACTTCAATTTAATAAGTACAAATTATTTGACAGCGTCAAATGTCAATTCTCCTATATTAATCTACTTTACATTTTTATATCTTTTTAACTTACAAGTAAATAAAATTTATATAATTTTAAAATTCTTCATTTTAATAGATAATATTCTGTGATTTAAAAATATTAATCCTATTCGGTTTTGATTAAGTAATGATCGACATACAAAAGCTATAAAAGTATCGATAATCTATTTTTCCGTATTTTGAATATTTTTAAAGAATGGGTAAAGTACCAAATAAAAAAAAATATAAATCAGCAAAATCTTCACCGATTGTAAATAATGCTTACTTTTTAGAATCAAATGATGAAATGAATAATAACGACTTTATAGCACAAGCTTCTTCGAGAAGCTCGGATGTGCTTCCGGTTATCAAGCAGGTTTACCTCGAGAATCAAATGACCTCTTTCTCTCTTATTCATTTTTAACTTCTCATTCGGTACTTTAACAACAGCTGTCTTCAGCTGATCCTACTGAACGCGCATGGGCAGCAAGTTGTGCATCCAACCTCATAGCAGGCGAAGAAAAAATTCGTCGTCTCTTATTATCAAAGAATCTCATAAGATTATTAATAGAACGGTTAACGGATGATGTTTATGAAGTAGTATATGAAAGCGTAGGTACATTAAGGTGAGTACAATTCTATAATCTACAAGTAATGAATTTTGCTACAGTTTTAAGTATATTTTTTACATATAGAAACCTAACGGTTATAGGGGAGTATGAAATATGCGCTGAAATGTTCAATAAAGATATTTTGACCCCTTTAATGATGCTTATTTCAAAGGTATAACATATATATGTAAAATATATAATAATAATTAATATTTGAACTAAACACAAGTTTCCTTTCAGTTATCTATAATTATTGACAATATGTTAAAAGGAATTTCATATGAATCTGATCCAATTAAAGGTGCAAGAAATAATATATGGATTTTTGCAGAAAACATTATTTGTATTTTATGGGCTTTGAGGTACCAAGCAATGAAATTTTTATATTTATCATTTTCATACTTAGCATTCAGGAAATAAAACTCAAAATTTCACAGTGAAACTTCACAGAAGATACTCAGAGGAATTAATAATACGAATATAATTCATTTTCTAATGGCTTTTTTTATTAATATTGAAAAAATTCCAATAAAAACAGTCATTGCTGCAGGTATATTTATTTAGGAAAGTTAATACAAACTAATGTTGATACGTTATTTCATTTTAAATTTTTTTTTTTTTCCCGATCAAGCACAATGTCTTCACACAATTACAGACGATAACTCGGACATACATAAACAGTTTGAATTAAATCCACAATACGTACAAATATTTCTGAATATTATAAATCTTGAAAGAAATAAATCATTATCCGATGATGATTTACTTGTAAAAGTTTTGTGCTGCGGTATTTATTTAACTTTATTTTTAAAACAAAAAAAAATATTATGATTTACTATTGTTATTAATTTATTATTTTAGGTGTTATTTTAAATCTAGGCTCTATCATTATTCACACCATATCCAGAATTGATTTTAACAGAGACATAAATAATTATTTAATTCCAATATTAAAATCTTGTTTAAATTATGATATCGAACAAGTTGCTAACGAAGCTATTGAGGCAGCTTCGAATGTAGTAAGTTGCTTTATAACAAGTCGAGAACTTTATGAATTCAAAAGTAATAAGACATCTTTTTCCTATTTATGTAGGTTGAATTGAATATTGTAACAGAACATCCTAAAGATTTTTCCACATCAGAAGAGGTTCATCATTTGAATATTTCATATGCATTCTATTAATTCAGAAATGGGCCTGTAATATTTAAATCTTTCATCACAGGAAAATCTTGTTAATTTAAATTTGAGGTTAACGACTTTGCAACTCGCCCTCGAATTATTATCAAAAATTTGTTTGGAATGTTTCTCTCAAGGTTTTATTAGAATTTATATTTTTTGATAGATAATGTTCATTGATAATACGATTTAATTGTCCTTTTTTAATTAACCAGACGATGACAACTGTCAGGATGAAATACAAAATGAAGAAAATGAAATCGATTTCAACAAAAATAAAATTATGGACCTTGATGATCCAATGTCAAATGATACTCATGTTCAAACTTCTATCAATAGACAAGAACACCCAATTTTGAATACATTCGCCACTAACATGATTTCAGATCTTATTCGTTTATCTAGACCAACTTCCCTTTCATATCCTGAACAGCTAGGGCAGAATGTTATACCTAAAAGTTCAGTTGCACCTGCAATCACAGAATCACTTGCAACAGTGCATTTAAGAGCGGTGGAATGTATGAATAACTTTTTTTTGATAATGGTAGATATTGTCGAAGAAAAATGGTGGTTTACTAAACACCGCAACGCTGCTAAAGAAACATGGACAAGGATTGTTGAAGTAGCAAATCAGGTTGCAGGCAAAGGTGTGAAGGTTGGTGCAGAAGGCCCAGGACAACAAATGAGGGGTACCGTATTGGAAGCTCTGATTGGATGTTTATGGATTTTGGCTAGAGGTTTAAACGATGATTTGGTATATATTTTTATACTTTTTGTTTAAAATTTGACCATAATTTAAGCATTTAGAATGCTTCTTAAATTTTCCTTCATATTATCAGCCACTTGCGGAAAATCAAATCCAATCATTTATTCAATGTTATAAGTCTATCATATCGGAATCTATGCGTGTTAAATTAATTGGTACATTAGGTGTAATTGCCAAGAGACATCATGCGATAGAAGATAACAAGGTACAGAAGAACTATTTAATTCTTTTAAATTACTCTATTTTAGTAATTAATAATTAATATTGTAAATTTTATTTAGTTAATCGGTACATTCTTGATCGAAATAATAAAAGATTTATCTCGAACAGATTCTCTTCCTATTGATTGCATTACAGAATCTTTGAATGCTATATATGATATATATGCGGATAAGGATTTTGATTATGATGAACCCGTTTTTGTTAATGAGGGTTTTTTACACGTGTTGGAAAGTGTAGTTGACAATGTTCATAAGATGGTAAGGATTATCTGGAAGATAAAATTCTTTTTACTTGATCCTATTTTATTTATGAGAAACTTATTAATGCGTGTGATTTTTCATTATAGGCTAAATCAATCGATAAACGAAAATCACTCGAGCAGCGTCTTCGTGTAGATGAGGTATACACTAATCTTGTTGCTTTCATTAGATATAAAAAAGACGAATGTTTATTAAATATATAATTTATTTGAAAGCGATTATAGTTGAGCAATTAGAAATAAAGTAAAATATCATAAAGTTATAAATAAAAATGTGAGCATTTAAAAATTTAAGAAAAAAATAAACCGGACCTGGAAAGGTCTCATCACGGTTAGCCTATTTGATATTAACGTCAAACGTCGTTTTTTTTATGATTTCTTAAGATAACTTTGCTGATATCAATATCATCTGGACAATCTGAATTAGTTAATGACATGATGCAATTTACAATTAAATGAACCTTGGTTATGTGTTAGGATTTTCATGATTGATTAAAATTATTTAATTTATTTTTTAGTACCTATCGTTATTGAAACCATAGGTTAGAGATGGACTTTAAAATCGAACTTATATTAAATTTTAATTACCATTAATTTCCTATCCTATAATATAAATGTGAACCAACTGAATAGCAACAAGATTTGAACTCTTTTAACGTTTGGAAGACAATTTTTAATATATAATATTCTAAAAATAATGCTTTAATGTATAAATACAAAATAAAATACAATTTATGAAAATACAAAATAAAATATAAAAATGTAATAAATGCAAAAGAAAGTACAAAGAAACATAAAAGAGTAATTTTGATATACAAAATTCAAATAATTCAAATTATGGATTTAATTAATTTTAAGAAACTTTATTGTGTCTAAAAATTGATCCAATTGTGTTAAAAAATTTTGAATAAACATATTATTATATAAAAATTATCTACTTTGTTTATTTATTATATTTAGATTAATTTAATTTATAGTTTATTTATTATACTTTATTTATTTATTATAATTATTATAATTATTTTATTAAGTTTATAGTTAATTTTGTTAATTAAATAATTTATATTAATACAAGCCAAGTTTTTTTTGTTTAATAAGATTTACAATTAGAATTGTTTAATTTGATTTATTAAATAAAACATTTATATAGTATAAAGTGTTAATATAAGATAATACTTATTTTTTATTCCTGATTAAATAAACAATTTATATATACACTTTACCTAAATTTAACTATAAATTTAATCTTTTGCTTATCACATATATTTTTTGTTTACTTTTAATTATAATATAATAGCAATATACAGATGGTAGTCAAAAATTACTGAATATCATTTTTTGGAAATTATAATTCTCAAAACTTACCAATTAGAATAAAACCAAATTTTAGATATAATCTCAAATTATAATATATCAAAATGTTAGATAATTTGAATTATTAGATATTGAGATATTAATATAAACATTAAAATTAAAAATAATTTTAATTACAGTCAAACCTGTCTATAATTATTTTATTTATAATCACATTCTATCTATAATCATTTAATTTTAATGTTTCAAATTATAATATTTATATACTTTTTTATAATCACAACTACAGTGAAATCTCTCTAAATGCATTCTTCTTAATGTATGCATTATATATATTTTTCTATAAATGCATATTTCACACTATACATGAAGTCGAAATGAAAACCCAAAAGTCGAAATGTTTCGACTTTGGAGGTCAAAGTCGAAATGAAAAGTTGAAATGGTTGAAATTACATTATATCATATGATTTTTATATTTAGAAAAAACAAAAACAAAATATGTACGATTCAGTCAATATCGCTCTAATTCGTATGAAATAACTACTATTCGATTCCTCGTGACTAGACGAATCTAATGAGCTAACATTCATTGATTTTAGATCATCTTTTTTTTTAAAAAAATGCAGTAATGCATTTATTATTATAAAATTCATAATCAGTTAATTAAAACATGAAAATCCCAAAAAGGGTATAAATGCAGAAAAATAAAAAATGCTGCCTAATAATCATCATTAGTAGACTAACTCCAATCAGACTAACCAGTTATCCCGTCAGGCTCCGATAACAATCACTAGTAGAATTAACATCACCATCCAACTAAAGAAGAGAAAAACGTTTGACAAATAGTTATTACTGCGTTAGGAAGAAGGACTATTTTCGTCTATAAACAAATGATTTGGTCATAAGGAAAGTATGATCATATTTATATTCGGGTAAAGACAAAGATGAGTTTGAAAAACTGTTAATAGAAAATTTGTTAGAAGAACTATAATTCTGTTTTTTGCTATATTTCGATATGTTAAGTAAACGTTCTTTTTCGATAGTAGCTGCGTATCTAGATTTTCAGATAACTTCGTAAGATTGATCAAAAATGTAATCAAAAATGGGAAAAGAATTTTAGAGGTACGAGAAGAAAAGTTAATAAAGGAGTTGAGTAACTTCGGAAGAGCAGAAGGAACTATGTCTTTAATGGAGTCTATAAACGAAATGTTGTAAGGATCCTCTTTTAAGATCCAAAAAGGATGTGAGGCAAGTAACAATGAATTAATATCAGGAGGGTAGACTGTTCGTGAAGTATGGATGAAGATCTATTTTTTAGAACATTAAGAGCTGCAGTGATAATTTGTTTCATCTCTCTTTTTGCTTTAGGACAAATCCATATGTGATTAAAGTATTCTTTGTCAGTATTACAACGACAGCACATCCATGATGAGTTATAAATAGTAGGTTGAGTTGCTTTCATGAATTCTATTGTGGGAATTTATTCAAAAAGGAATTTGAGTCTTCTGCAATGTGCTCGAGATTCTTTGAAAGAGGTTTCAGTAGGAGTGCTGAGTTTGATGAAATCAAAAGTTAAGGACCAATTGATTTGGAGTTGACTGTATTTACTA